CCGAGCTATCTCTCGGGGAGGGAGGGGACTTCCCCACCTCATCCAACCTCGCAGCCCCTACTTTGACTCCCATCCTCTCCCCCATCCCGGGGGGGCCCGCCAGGGCGGGAGGCTCGGCCCAAGGCAGCACCCCGGGTGGCACGCCTACCCCCCTCTGGTGGGGGGAACTCGCGTCGTTCGCGTTCGCCCCGGCATCGCCGCAGGCCAGCCCCGCAAGCGTGGACGTGCCGCCCGGACGCTGGGGCGACTCCCTTGGGTGGGCCCGCGCGCCAGCCCCTCCGTCTGCCGCGCCGGCGGTGAGTCCCGCCGAAGTGAGGGCGCCTTCGCCGACCCCGCCGGAGAACACCCCAGGTGGGACGCCGACCCCGTTCTGGTGGAGCTTCTCCGCCCCCGCCGAACCCCCCGCACCTGCGGGGCCAGGCTCGGGAACCATCTCCCCGCCGCATTCGGCCCTCCGCGGGGGGCACACCTCCCCCGCTCCGCAGCCGGGGGGCGGGCTACCCTGGTCCAAGCAAATCCCCGCGGAGGAGTTCGTGGAATGGCCGAAGTGGGCCTCTCCCACCCCCACGGAGGAGGAGCAGGAGGAGGCGGACGCGACCCCCTGGTGGGAGAGCCACTGGTTCGCCGGCCGCCGCCGGGAAGTGGTGCTGGAGGTCCGAAGCGTCCCTAGCCCCAACTTCTTCTTCCGCCTCATCGTGTGGTCCTACGGATGGCTGGATGCCGGCCTGACCGTCCTCGTGGGGGAGAGGTGGGTGAGCTTTAAGGTAATCGTGTGCGTGCTGGGCTCCTTCTACCTGGGCGCCATGGGGATCTGCTTTCTGATCCTCCTCCTCGACCACCTGGCCCGCCCCTTTTTCTGGTTCTACCGCCGTCTAAGGCGCTCCCCCACCTTCCGCGATTTCTGCGCCCGGGTGGAGGACAACCGCCGGTTCCTCCTCGATCTCGACTGGAGGGGGCCTGATGCCCAACCCGTGGACGACGACTTCTTCAAGGACATCATCCGAGGGAGGAGCGACCAGCCCCCGAGGCTACCCAACCACCTCGTGGCCGAAGTCGGGGGCCAGCGGGTACGCCTGGATCGAGGGCAGTATGGTGACCCCATCCGGAAGGAGAAGCGGGCGGGCCAGGACTTCCCGTACGCCCGGGTGCATGACTGCGCGGACCCTGACCTCCGACGCCGCCTGGAGGGTGCGGACATCAAGGTGGTCCACCTCTGCGGGGCGGGACCCGTGGGCGGCTGTCCCAGCGTGGACGCCTTCGCCATGCACTTCCGGAAGTATACCGCGGTCGACGCCAAGGCCATCCTCGACCTCACCGAGGACAGGGACCTGGGAAGCCCCTTCCTGGCCGGCTTCCGCACCCTCTGGAGGGCATTCTGGGGTGGGGTCCAGCGCATCGCCCATTCCTTCTTGGCTCGGGGTTGTTGCTGTTGCCGGAGGGGGGCCCGCCTGCGCCGGCCGGGACCACGCCAGGTCACCGCGAACCCCCGGGGACCTCAGCAGGAGGAAGACGACTGGGAACCCTGCATGGCCGAAGCAGTGGGCTGGATGGACGCGAAGGGAGGGTATTGTTGCCTCCAGAAGCATGGCACTTGCGAGGATCGGAGGGGACCCAAGCCCACCCCTTTGCTCATCGAGGACGGGCCCACGTCCGACACCCGGGGATGGCCGCGCAACGGGGGAGGGGCACCGATGGCCTGCCTGTGCCGCTACCACGGCCTGGAGTACCACAACCTCCGCCTGAGCCTCCAGTGCTCGGAGCCAGGCTGCTGGCACATTGGGGAACCCGGGTTCGGTGGGAAGCGCCTCTGCCTCAGGCACGCGAACCCCTCTCCGCAGCCTGCTCGAGAGGGGGAGGGAAGGGCGGACACTAGCAAGTCCCCCCCTGACCCAGCGCGCCTAAGCGATGCCGGGCCAGCCGCCGAACCCTCCGCGGTCACCACTGCGGGCCCTGCGGAGGGGAAGCCCGCACTGGGGGCAACCGGGGGGCCTCCCTCCCCCCCGCCCGCGGAGCCGGCCGCCTCCGAGGAGGTGTCCCCTAACCCCGCGGCCGCCCCTGGCGTGCCGGTGGGATCTGACTGCCACCAGCTGACGCACGGCGTCCCGGGCGCACTCGTGTCTGAAGGCACCCCCGAAGGGGATGGGGAGGCCCCCACGACTGTGAATGGGGGGAGGGCTACGCCACCCCTGACCATCCCCACCCAGGCGGAGGATACGGTCGGACGGAAGTACTTGATCCGCCTCTACGAGCCCGCCGACACCGGGGAATGCGCCCGCCCTTACACTACTGCCCGAGGGATAGGGCGGGGAGAGGCGCGGGGGAGAGGAGGGAAGAAGGACTGGGCGGGGATTTGGATGCCAGGAGTGGAGGTTGAGCTGACGTTCCCGCTGTGGGCGGTGGGACCCTGGAGCCTCTCTTCCGAGGGGCGCCTCAACGCCTCCCGCCCCCCATTTGACGCCCAGGAAATCACGGGGGCCACCTATGCCCAGCTGGGGGAAGCAAGTGAGGGCGGGGGGGGGCCCTGCACGCTGGCCGACCTGCTGCAGTGGGCGAAGTTCCTGACCTGCAAGTGCCCTCCCCACCCCTACGCGCGGGTTCCCCCTCCCGGGCGGCAAGCTCGGGGAGGGGGAGCGCTGTGCAACGCCCTTGGGGAGCCGCGCTCCATCCTGCGCGCGGAGGGAAGATCTGCCTCCCCACCCCCTCGAGGCGGTCGCATCGCCCGCCTGCTCCACGCGCCCTCAAGCAAGGAAGAGCTGCTGAGGTCGGGGAGGGGCCGCGCCCCGGGGCGCCGGGCGGGGGGAACGCCGGTGATGGAGCCGAACAGCACGGAGCTGGGGCTGTACCTCCAGGCGGGTGCCACGGGCAAGCCGACGGGGGCGAAGATGCTGGAGGCGGCGGCAGCCGTGGGCCGGAAGCCACGCCGAGTGCGGACCGCGATTCTGGAGCAGGCCCGGGAGCACCTGGAAAATCCGCTCCTCCTCCCCTCGGTGCGTCCTCGGCTGGAGGAGGTCACTGCCCAACTTGCCTTATGGGGAAGGGCAGGGGGCGCAGTGCGGGCCCTCGCCCTCCGACCGCGGGGGGCCTCCCCCAAGCTGCCGCTGAAGCTCCAGGACCCCCGCCCCACGCCCCCGTGGAGGCGGGGGGAGAGCCCCCGCGCCCTCCAGCCGGTGGAGGGAACCCCCGCCGAATCGGCTCAGGCCGTCGTCCCCGGAGAAACGAAGCGGAAGGGTTCCTCCGTTCCCGCGCTCCTGCGCGCGCACCGCCCCCCCGCGAGGGAAGAGGGCGGGGGGGGGGGCCTCATGTACCTCCAAGGGGCCGCGCGGAGGGTATGCCACCTCGCGCGGGGATGCGGCGCCTTCCAGGTGGCCGTGGGGCCTGCCCATCTTGGGCGGGAGCTCTACTTGACCCTGCGCGGACATGGCCGGGGGGCCCTCGCCCTGCTGGAGGGGGTCGGCTGGCCCCTCCCGCTCAGCAACCGGATTGCGTAAGGCTTGGCGGCCTGCCTGATGGGTGCCCCTAGACCCGCCGACCCGAACGCCCTCACGGTGGCCGACTTCGCGGTCGCAAGGGGCGCGGACGCCGGGCCCCTCGTCGCCGCGGAGGGACACAGGAGGGAGCCCCCCTCGCCGGCCCCCGCAGACCTTGGCACGTGGGCGGAGGCCGCCCAGACGCAGATCCGGGGGTTCGCCCTGACTTATGGGCAGGAGCACTCACTGCCCAGGACCACCGCCCTGCGGTTCTTGCTGCGCGAACATCAAGACCGGCCGGAGTACCTGTCCCTCGCCGACTTGATGGAGGTCTGGGAGGAGCTCACGTGGCACTTGTGGGCGAAGATGCGGGACGAGCTCCGGTCCGTGGAGGCCGAGATGGGCTCCCACCCAACCGCGCAGCCGGAGCTGACGGCCTATGCCACAGCCCCGGATGTGCACGGGAGAGCCCGCGTCAAGATCCCCCGCGCGTTCGTCGTCGAGGGCCCCACGGAGTACTACCACCGGGTCGTTGCCCCGCGCCTTCGTCGGGGGAGGATCGGACCCTGCCAGTCTCGGGGCGGGGGAACCCCCCCGGGCCCGGGTCCGTGCGCCCGAGGGGCGGTCGTGGGTGGGAAGAACCCCCCCTCGGGCCTGGCGCGTTCCCGCGCCCCCCTCCGAACACTCCTCGGCCCCGCTCTTCTTTGCGCTTGCCCGCGCACGAGCGGAGGAGCGCAGGAGGTGGACGAGGAGGAGACCCTCCCTGTGGGGGAGGAGGCGGCAGCATCAAGCCCGCCCGTGGACCCCCTGGAGTGGGGCGCCGCCTTGAGCCCCCACCCGGAAGAAGACGAAGTGGGGCCGGCCGCGAGGCAGGCGTCGCCGGAGCCCCCCCCTTCGCGTGGGAGGGAAGGGGCCACCGGAGGCCGAGCCCGGCAGCCCCGCTCGGCGAGTGCGCCGCCGGGAGGCTTCGTGCTGAACGAGAGCCACGCCTGCCTGGCCGACGAAGAGGGCGAGATCCGCTACTTGATTCCCCCTACCCAGGAGGCCTTGGATGCGCTGAACGAGGCGGCCGCCCGGGCTGGCGGGGACAACCCGGCCCCCGACGCGCCGCTCGAGGCGGGAAGGGGCGGAGCGGGAAGCCAGAGCGCCACTTCGGAGGAGGGGGAGATGCTGGGTGGCTACCTCCACGCCGCCCAAACCACCGCCGGCACACCGCGGTGGGATGAGCCGGGGGAAGGTCAGACAGGAAGTCCCTCACCGGGGATCGAGGGGGAAGGGGGGGGGGCAGCCCCCGTGGCGGGAGCACCCCCCCCCTCCACAGCCCCGGATTACGCCCGAGCGGTGCGGAAGGCGCTGGCGCGGGGGGCTACTCCCAGGGACCAGAGGGGCCTCCTGCTTTGCTGGGACTACGTCAGCCACCGGGGGTGTGAGGGAGGGGGGGGTGTCTGCCCCCACGCCCACTGCGACTTGGGACCCGCTCGGGGACTGCCGGCCCCACTCATGGGGGAGCTGGTGCGCCGAGGGGGCTGGAAGGACCAGCCCGTGGTGGCGGAACAGGATCAGCCGGCGCGGCTGGCCGCCCTCCAGGGGGGGCCCTCAAACGGGCGGGAGGACGAGCCACCCACGCACGTCCGGGCCGGGGACCCGACCAGGGGGGAATATGATTGGTTCACCCCCTTCCCCGGGCGGGACGACGTCTTGGATCGGTGCTGCAACGGTCCGGACTTCGGCTTCACCGAGAACCACCATAAGGCGCATCGCCTCAACCCAGTTGGAGACCCGGACGACCCAGAGGAGGAGGCGCGGGAGGCCGGAATGCAGGCCATTAACGCGCGCTCCGATGTGCGGGAGTTCCTCAAGGGGGGGCCCTCCCGGCACCTGGAGGCCGCGGTCAAGAACCACCTCCTGGAGGAGCACCTGGCCTCGACGGCGACAGGAGGGGTGCTCGCCGTGCTCCGGAGGATCGTGGACGGACCCAACTGGAAGCTGGTCCGGGAGGCCGCCGACTGCCTCGATCGGCTCGCGCCTGAGCCTGGCGGCACCCGGGGGGGGGGCGTCCGCCCCCCAGACCGCAGAGGTTACGCCCGGCTCCTCCAAGCCCCGGACGCGGGGGACGGGGTAGGGCGGGGGGCCCTCCAAATGGATGGAGGGGAGTGGGACATGCTCGACTTCCACGACCGCCTCCCCCTCAGAGAGGGCCCTCTCCTCGCGGAGCGCTTGGGCATCCAGGAGGACTGTGAGAGAAAGCAGTGCGTCCTCCTGAGCGCGGTGGGCGCCGCCCTCTGGGCCCGTGAGGGAAGGGGGCCGCCCAGCCTCGCGGAGGTCTGGGCGCACGCGCTCACGGCCAGAGCGGAGCAGCTGGACCAGGCAGTTCGGGCGGAAGAATCACTGGGGCCTCCGGAGGCCAAGCTGGTGGTCGGGGAGGCGGACCTTCGGATCTTCATCCACGACGCGGTTGCCCCACACCACGACAAGGACTACCGCGCCCTGGTCGTGTTCCCCCTCCGCCTCCTGGAGGATGTCGTCCTAAACGTCGTGGTGATGGACTACGGTGGGAAGGTGACCACGCACCTTCTGGAAGGAACCCGCTCCGGGGAGGGCTCACCTCAGGCCTGGATGTTGATCCACCGGGGGCGCGCCCGCGCCCTCCGCCCCCGAACACCGACCTCGGGAGAAGCGGGAGGGGATGCGTGCCTGGGAGCCCTCCATCAGACTCTTCGGAGGGAGGCCACGGTCATGAATGGCTGGGAGGAGTTCCTCAACCGCGACGCCCGAGGCACGGAGGTCTCCTGGAGCACCTACGTCAAGTGCCAGGCATGCGAGGAGCGCCCCGCGGCGAGGGAGGCGGCCCTAGGGCTGGCCGGAGGGCTGCAGCGGCAGAGCCTGCCCGGGCACCCGCAATCAGGGCCGCCCTCCAGCTGTGGGAGGAGCTCGTCTCGGAGCACCCCGGAGCTTTGGGGGGCGCGCCCGCTTTCCGCTGGGGACCCCGCTTCAAGGAGGTGTTCGCGGGAACCGCGGGGGTGACCCGCGCGGTGGAGCAACTGGGCATCCCAGCGGACGAGCCCGTGGAGCTGTACCGGAACCCCCTGCACCCCAAGGAGTCGGAGAGGAGGGAGGACCACGACCTCTCGAACCCCGACGTCGCCGAGGCCCTGGTCAAAGAGGCAGATACTCCCCCGGGCCCGGGAGTGGCCAACGTGTGGATGTTCGAAAACCCGTGTACCTCCATCTGCGACCACAACACCAAAGGGGGCACCCGCACCTGGGAGAAGCCGGAGGGGGCCGGTGTAAACGGCAAGGAGCTCTTGGGAAACGCCCTCTCCCAGACCACGGTAAGGTGCATGCGGAACCTTCATAAATGGGGGAAGGGGTGGATCTTCGAGAACCAGGAGCATAGAGGGGTATATCCCAAGGTCTACGACCTCCCGGAGGAGTGGTTGGAAATCCTGGAGGAGACCGGTGCCGTGATCATCCCGGGAACGATGTGCGCCTGGGGCCTCCATCCCTCAGACGCTTCGTCCCCCCATCAGTTCTATCGCAAGGGGTGCTGGCTGGTCGTCTCCGCGAACCTGGCCCCCTTCTTCACGAAGCTCCGGAGACCCTGCCCCGGTCTCTCCCCGGTGCACCAGCACGTGGAACTCAGGGATAACGTCCCAGGGGCGGGCATCAAGCGGACAAGGGAAGCCGCCCAATACCCCCCGCGCTTCGCCCGCGCCGTGGCGCTGGCCATTTGGACGGCCACGAAACACCCACCCACCACGCCCTCGAGGGGGGGGGAGCCACGGGAGATGGTAAACTCAGACCCTCAGGAGAGGGAGGGGACGATGCGGGAGGGAGCCAAGATGGGGAGGGAGAGGGGCCCTGGATGCCTCCCCAACGGGCAGCTGGCAGCCTGGAAAGCGGGACGGAATCGGGGAACCAGGCGCCGGGGAGAGCGGGCCGAACCGCTCAGGACTGGGCGCAGGAGCTGTGCACCCATTGCGCGGACAACCCCAAGTACTCCCCCGAAGTTGTGAAGGAGGGGGCCCGACTCGGTGATGGCCTAGTCCAGGCGGCAGGAGGCTGGAAGAAAGCAGTCGACTGCTACCGAGAGGCCTGGACGAGCCGGTGGGGGAACAACCTGGACGGGGTCTTCAAGGAGGAGCTATGCGAGCTGCTCGACCCCGACCTCAGGGATTACCTCCACCAGATGGTGAAGGGCGGGGTTCCCGCCCGCCAACCGCTGGCCCAGGTTCGGGCCCCCTCCAAACCGCACGTGGGCGTGCAGGGGCACATGGGGGAGGCGATGGAGAAGTTGTGGAAGGACGCCAAGAGGGGGAGGGTCCTCCTCTGCGGAAAGGACTCGGAACCTTACCTAAGCGGGGTCCTCTCCTCCCCCTGGGGAAGGGTGCCGAAGATGAACCCCGACCGCGCGATCTCGGAGAAAGGAAGGTTCATCCACGACCAGAGGGCGATGAACGAGACGGGGCACAAGCACCTCCACCCCCCAGCCTTGCAGCCCCGCCATCGGGGACTGGCGAGAGAGATCACCTGGTGGAAGGAGCGGCACCCGGGGGTAAAAATCCTGATCGCCAAGCGGGACATAGCGGAGGCCTTCCGCTGGATCTGGTTACGGGCGGAGGATGCCGGCATGTTCGCCACGGAGCTCCCTGGCAAGGTGGTCGGGATGGAGGGCAACCTGGTGGCCATCTACCTCGTCCTCACCTTCGGGTGGATCGGGGGCCCGGGGGAGTACATGGCCTTCGGGACGGCCCTGAAGCAGTACCATGACCGCCACCGGCCGGCCGACCCAGGATGGCACGACGACGCGCCCCACCACTCGCACCTCCTCATGGACGACGACGTCCTCATCGAGCCCCTCCTGGGACGGCGCCCCTGGATGGCCGCTAGGCTGGCCGAGGAGGGGGCCCGTAGAGTATTCGGGCCTCTTGCGATCAACGCGGAGAAGAAGGACGAGGAGGGAGAGTTCCGCGTGGACCAGATCTGCTGGGGGGTCCACGTGAACACGGAGGAGGAGACCCTGCGGCTCCCCGAGGAGAAGGTCAACAAGATCCGGATCCTGCTGAGTGACCCAGCCTACGACACGGGGAACACCCAGGTAGCCCTGAAGGGTGTCCAGGTCCTCCGCGGCACCCTCAACTTTGCGGCCATCACCTGCCCCCCCCTCCGCCCCGAGTTGGGGGCAGTAGACCGGCTCCTCCGCACTGCGGACCCGGCTGGGGTTTGGGTCAAGATCAAGGAGAGCAGCGAGGGGAGGGAGAAGGACGCGTGGGACGAGTGGTGGGAGGCGCTGGAAGTTTTCTGCCTCTGCGCGGGAGCGCCCCAGGCCTGGGCCACCCACTTTAACGCAGGCTTGAAGGGGGTCTTCCAACCCCAGGAGCGGCTCGCCCTCCCCGGCGGAATGGAGGAGCTGGTCTGGACCGGAGGGGGCGCCACCGAGACCCGGGTGGGGGCCGCCGACTGGTCAAACGGGGTGTGCGGGGTCATGGATGTCAAGGAGGTCATGGAGCCGTTCCACGCGGTTTTTGGGGGGGGAGCCGACATCATCGCCATCTGCGAGCTGTTTACCTTCCTGGTGCTCGCGGTGGCCCAGGCCCCGAGATGGGAGGGGCGCCTGGTCCTCTACGTCACGGACAACACCAACACGGAGATCTGGCTCAACAAGCGGACGGCGAAGAACCGCCTCGCCCGCTACGGACTGCGCCTCCTCCAGCTCCTGGAGACCCGCTACGGGTTCCACACGGTTACGGCGGGAATTTGGACCAAGCACAACAGCAGCATGGACCTCATCTCCCGGGAGACGAAGAGCGTAGTCCAGGAGGAGATGAACCGCCTCGGCTTGGAGGAGATCGACCTCAAGGGACCCTGGAGGGAAGTGCTCGCGGGGGCGGAGAAAGGCCGCCCTTTGGTCCTCCCTGGAGACTCGGAGGAGGGACGCCGGCTGGCTTACCAGCTGGTGGAGCGCCGCCGGGCGCGGGGACCGCCCGCCGGACCCTTGGCCGGGGCGCAGGTCTTCGAGTGGCGTGCGACCCTCTCCCCCTACTGCCGGGTGGCCGGAGAGATGGGGGCACGGATCGGAGCCACCACCCCCAATCCCGGTTCAGCCGTGAGCCACCCCTGGTGGGAGGTCCACCAGAATCGACTCGTGGCCGACCGGGCCGGGCGGGCCAGGACCGCGGTGAAGGAGACTTGGGTCACCTGCTCCAGTGGCAGCGACCCCACCGGCCGAGAGGCCCTCTACTTCGTGCGGTACGCGCTCTCCCACGCCGCCACCTTCGTCGTGCTGGACGGACCCCTGGACCAGGATCTGGGGGGAGCCCGCGAGGTCTTGCAGGAGGGTGGGTACGACACTGCGGAGAGCGTGGTGCGCACCCACCTCCTTGGGGACCGGTGCGCCAGGTCGCGCCGCCTCCTCCTTGCCTGGAGAGACGGGGGGAACTGGGGGGGCGCCGCGCTCGCACTCCTGCGGCGGGGCGAGCGATTGGCCCCACTGAACCTCAGCAGCGCCCTGTTGACGCCCGAGGCGGTCCTTC